TTATAACATCGACGGGAGACTTATCTGTATCTACATTCTACATATTGAATTATTTATAAAATATATAAACTTTATAGATACATTTAAACGTTTGTCAAAAGACAAAAAGTATTAAATGTATATAAATGTATAGACACTCACTATAGGCCACAATGTAAATAATAGACGATAGTTATAGGTACGAGGATTTTACAGCAAGAGTGTGAGACGTAAGGCTYACACTACTACATTCTTATAATACCTTTAAGTATTTAAGAACATTAATTTACAACTGAACAAGTCCTTTTGATCTAAGCCATATAGAGTGTATTGTGTATCATATTTATCATGGTATTCTCTAGTTATTTTCTGAAACACCAATAAGGCTTGTATAAGTATAAATAATTTGGATTTTCAAAGTAATTAGTTCATGCCAGATGCATATTTGATATTTTTAGCTGGACTTTTTAGTCTGCTGCAGATTATAATAAGTTATGTATAAGTGCATTACATATAGTATATGCAATGCATATATGTATGATAAATATGTTCCTTTACGTGAGTGTATTACGTCAACGTGTGTACACTGAGAATGTTCGTTTAACTGATACTATTTATCGTACAAGAAAAAATGTATATTTTTATGAGTGTAAAAAATAACATTCATGCATCGGATATGATATTCAAATAATAACGCTTAAATTGGAAACTAAGAATCCACACTATAGGTGTAATATAATATAGATAATACGCATTATAGTGAAAAAAAATATAAAATTKATTCAAGTACTAAAATCCTTTTAAGCATTGTAATATGCAGCTTGCTTAGTCAACTGTAGTTCTATGTTGGTTGTTAAGCATAAAAATATTATTATGGCAGTGACTCATAATATTTGGCCATTCAATACGTAATCAATTGTATATAAATTCTATTGCCGATTTTTCTCTTTCTTTAAGTTATTAATCTTATAATAAACTGAAATATTAAACTGTACAGCAGCGGTTCCCAAACTTTTTTTACACGGTGCTTTTTTTTGGACCAAATATAGCCAGGTGCCCTACTGTGAATACCATAAAAAAACAGAACAAAAAAAATACTCATTAATAATGAATTAAAAAAAATAAATTCTATATACATCTTAAATTATTTATTATGAGCTGCAAACCGCGGTGCCCTTAAAATGTGCTCACGGTGCACAGTTTGGAAACCACTGCTATACAGGGCTAAATAAAAGATGATATATCTATTGYTCGGAATACTCTATCCAAAATACCAAAATAAGTAGTAATTGTAACTTCTGAATTATACAAAATGTTTCATACAAAATATTTATAAATTTATAGTACATTCCTCGCTTTAAAAATAATTTGAAACAGTAAACATTATTTTACTTATTCACTTTTTGAATTTTACCCATTTTCAAAACAAGGATTTTATATGTACACGCAAAGTTGAGTATAACATCTTGAGTTTAATTTCCCGTGAATAAATATCGACAAATTACAATGATAACTTCAATAGTAATAATAATAATTTTACTATAAATAGTAAAATAGTAATTACTGTCATAGATAAAATGATATAGCCAAACTTCTCATATAATGCAATATATGAATAACCATTTGGAGGTAGGTACCTGTATTATAAATATCATCAAAAAACAAAATATTCATACATATTAATTGATATCAACTATAGATATACTATCGTTGTTTAGCAGATGTTAGGATGATATAATATATTGAATACTATATTCCAAAAGAAAATTTCGTAATTTATAAACTGAGACTTTATTAGGTTATACATATTAATATTATGTCTAAGACTACAAATTACAGAAAATATGATWATATCAGCGTTCAGCGATACAGCTATACCTCCTATACCTAATCATGTCGAGGTTGAAGTATCGGTGTCCTGCAGCGACGATTATGATGCCGTAATGAAACGGAACTGAAAAAACTTAATAAAATGATTCGGACGCAAGACATAAGTTGAAATATAAAAAAACGAGTTACCTGTCTTTTATATAGGTATACATGGAACACTTATATCGGACAGAACGACGGACGTTGGTGGACTAGACCATTGTCGCCCGTGCAGGCACCGGTCTGCTTCCAGCTAGAGGAACATCCGAATGACGAGTATACACCTGGGATATCCTGCAATGATGGGAATTCTGTGTGCAGTAGACGACTCCTGTCAATGAACATATATCGGATGACTGCGCTTTCAGACATCAAGTATGGAATATGGACGACACAGCTACCGCAACGTCACTGGAAGGGTCAGGTCCTGTTGTGCGACGCGTTGCATCCCATGGACGACGAAAAAGCGACGGCTGATGAGTGAATTAAAACCTACATAGACGTTTYTACGGCGTGTAATRAGCTGAATATATATAGAAAGATATCACAATTGCAGAATAAATAACGACAAAGGCGCCAGAGCAAAATTACGTATTCTTCATGCTGCAGTGGTGTGGAAGTTCACCGAATTGTTGCCCCTTAAAACATGGAATCAGTATAATATGTGTGCGTTTCATTACCGTAAGTACTATACCTCTGCAGCAGGAGTCCCTGCACGTCTCAGATCGTCGATAGAATGCATTATACAGACCATATAGAGGCATAGACCCGACTATCGTCRCCTCGTCGTCTTTCGTAGACTAACAGCGTCACCATATACATGTTATATGACCATTCTGACTCTGCAATAGTGATGTTATATGGTGGCTGTTTCGGTCATATTCCATCGTGCTCGTCCCAAGCACAATAATCGTTGACATCCAATTAATACATGTCTGCTGACAGCAGAAGCCGTTGTTTAAGTTTCTAGTTATTAGTGATCGCTGCTGTAAATCAAGACTGGTTCTGGCTATTCTACGATATTACGATTGTCTTTTGTGAGTAAAAATTAATAAATTKTATTGCTTAATAGTCAATGTGAGTATCTAGAAATCGGTCATCTCGTCAGCTATCACCGGTTAGATCAGACATGACATCCTCGGTGAAAATAGTAGGTACCTCGTATTAGCCGTCTTAGTTTATCATATAGTTTTTTTYCGATCGTGAGTTGAATTTAAAAAAACCGGGGAACTGAGTAGTATTGGCACTAATTAAGAGTCAAATGAAACTCATCATTGAATAACCAAATAAGTATTGTTACCTACTGTAATAGATGTATTCAATTTTATATCATTAAGTTTATAGAATTGTATTTGTGTGACAATTATACTATACCTACTTAGTAGGTATACTTACTATAGTTTACTACCAACGAAAATCGTTTTTGAGCGGTCAGTGTCAAGCACTCAGGTGTCAGTCCAAACGTTTAATGATCTTTTATACATTTTTATATTATTAATTTATTATTGTAGGCAAAATATTTTGAAAATATGATTTTACATGGTTGATAATAATAACCATGATGACGAAAAATGTCAAGATCCTTTGATTTTTTTCTTAATTATAACAAAATTACTATAAAATTGTTATTTTTTATTTAAATATATAACCAAATAGCCATAGTATAGTTACGTATTATTATTTATAAATAATTTAATAATAATATAAATTACTTTAATAGCAATATTATGAAATATGGTTAGTAATAAAAGTCARCCCCCCTACATCATATTTTTGGCTCAGGTACAGAACTTAACCCGGGCCCTTCTTAAATAACAATTATTTTTGAAAAATTGTTTATAATATAATATATTGAAGTAATTATTTTTGCATAAACGTCAGGCCCCAGTATACTGGTATACCATGGGCCCTTCTGACCCCCCCCCCAATATTGTGGGTGCCCTGACAAAGGCATTATGTCTTCGCTCAGAATCGTGTTTAATATATAACGATATTACCTATACAATTTATTGAATTCAAATTTAACACATTTAATATAGCGACCCCAGCAAAACGACCACAATTTATCACCTTTTTTTCGATCAAAGGAAAAGAACCTACAGGAAATATTTGTAGATTCCATTTAGTTTTCTGCTCCCCCAAGTATMAACAACCAGAAACAACCTTTGAAACTGAAGATTAATGCATTTGAATTGCTTAGACAGGTTATGAGTTATGATATGACACGCAAAAATTATTTTAATTTTTTTAATATATCAATTAAAGACCTGTAGATACTCATTAGTCATCCATCATACAATTTTTCCACGATTTAACAAACTTTTTAGCACAATTTTCAATGATATCTAGCAGGATGTAGAAAACCWGAAAACCTAGTAAACAATAAACATTGATAATATAATATATATTATATATAAGTATACATGTAAACATTCACACTGGCGCCCTCTGGCAAGTTCACCTCACGACGACTAAACCAGTTAAAACCATAGGCATAGTAATAAAAAATAAAAAATAATACCACTTACCACTTCAACAAAACCGACTTCACCAAACTACGGAACTCGACACATCCGTATAGCTCTTGATCGTTCTGAGACAAAATGTCATGCTCAATGGTAAAATTTATAGTCGGTATTGTTATTGACATGGTTAACTTTAAGGAGTGCATCGTTAAAATACATTTAAGTCTAAAATTATACAAAATATTTCAACTTACTCGTTTATATGCACGATGCCACAATAAGATAATAAAAATAAAATATAATAATATAATATTCAATTATCTATATCCACGATTTAAGATATATCTTAAATTGTGTCTATACCTATTTTAAGCCATAATTACTTAGATCCATTGATATTAGTAAATTCTACTTATATCATAATATTATAACAAATGGCTAATAATAATATGGTAATATAGTATTATTTATATATCATTCTAATTTCTAAGCATGAATTTATAATCATTATCATCTTATGACAATTAGTGGTTAACTCATACAGTAATATTGCTCTATGGGCTAACCTGTATTATAAAATCATATGACAATTGATAAGGTCGATGTTAAAAGAAATTACTATCTCTTTAATAAATAATAATTATTATTTAGGATTTATTATTTACGAATATACGGTAGATACCTACTATTTGTGTAATATATTAGTATTTAGTAATTATAAACCCCAGTAAGTAGAAGTTATATTACTGTAATTTTACTTAATARCATTAACMTATATAGATTGTATTATTGTATTATCTAATCTAATGCTTATTTTATAATATTTCTCTTTTTCAGTGTATTTCAGATTTTAAATTCTTGACCTCGTGATTTCAAAATCATTGTTTAGTGGATAGTTGGCTATCAATATAATTCGTGATTAAAATATTTTCAGTTTAAATTTAAAATGGTTTGTAAATTATTATTTGTAGGTAGTATATGAAATTAAACTACTCGTAAAACCTATTTCAAATACCTAACATTATTTTATTGTTTAGGACGCCTTTATGATGATACAACGAAAAAAKCTAACCATATTTACTGATGCTAAAGACAATATACTGGTTGATGAACTCAAAAAGATTATTGGATGTATGTACTATTTTTATTTTTACAAGCAATATACAATTGTTTCATTTTTAATACGATAAGAAAATAGGTTAAAGCAAAAATATGGCGTGGTTAACATTATTAAGATGAAAGGAGCCACCCAACTATGACATTTCCTATATAATACTAATAACATCATTTGTGCYTTAAGATACTTGAAGGAATACCTAGTGTGGTAATGAAAGCCAAATCGTTGATAAGGGAATACTATAAAATATCTCAATATTTACTATATATAATATAATTTACTAATGAGTACATATTTTACTCTATTAATAAGGTATTATAACCATCCTATTTAAATAAAATTTAAACTAGCCTGTATTAAAAAATATCAAAATATGAGTACTCTATATAGATTTACAAAATCAAAAAATGCGAACTAATACATTATGAAGGTTACCAAATTATTTATGAAATTATAGTTTGTCACATTGTTTTTAAACACGTTTAGGAACAAGAAATTTAGCATGTTAATTATTAGTTAAAAAAAATATTAATAAAAGTAATAAAAAAAATTGTGTGAGTAAAAATATTACATTCTAAAGTCTATAAAAATGTTGGTTATAAAATATTTAAAATTCACGATTTCTTCTATAGGAAAATAAAATTATATGTGCACTTATAAAGGACAGTCAAACAACAACATGTATCAAAATATTATGTCTGACTTTTACTATAATATTATCTACATGTATGTATGTAACCTATATCTATATGCATATCTAAGGTTAATATAGTTAAATCCTATACAAGTTTATTAAAAATATGTATTCTACAAAAATGGCATTATTATAACTTTATTACTCAAAATTCTGATAATTCCATGTATGTGAACTACAAATTGTGAAAATAATTAGAACTAAAATTTATTGAATTTTTCTAAAATGTAAGTACTAAGTACTATATTATTATTAATTATTATTTTAGATATCATTAAAGTACCACCAACAAGTCAACAACTTTACTACAAAGATGAAATAATGGATGGRACAAAAACATTGTCAGAATGTGGTTTGAATTCTACTATTGCTAAGGCACAAAGTCCAGCTACTATTGGTTTAGCATTGAAGTAAAAATAATCAGATATTAAAACATTAGTAGGTTATTAATTTTGTATATTTGTAGGATGGATAATGGAGAATTTGAGCAACTAGAAATGGTTCCATACTCATTGCCACCAGAATTGCCATATGTCATGAAAAACCAAGAAACTAATGGCCAAGAACCACCCATGTAAATACTAATAACTAAATAACATGTTCGAAAATGGGTTTTTTTTAATGGTTTATAAACAAGTGAAAAATTGCATCTCAGCTTAAACTAAGGATTTTTTTATGGTTGCCAATCGGTTAGTTTTTTTTTATTATATAACCTTATTTTATATTTTATTTATAATCAATAAACATGTCTTAAATATGAAAATGGTAACATAATCACTAAACAAATTAAACAACATACCAAATTATTCAAATTTGTTAATTTAGACAATATACCAAGAAATCCACTTTGTTAATGTAACATTTAAGGTATTCAATATTAATGTCTAAAATATATTTAATTTAGTTTGTATATTATTTAAAAAAAAACCTATTTGATACAAAATGTTTTTTATTAAAAATATTACATACCTACATATTATAATAAGATGTTTAAATTACTATATATCATACTATGTATTTTCAGTATGGAACACTGCAAATAAAATTAATTTAAGACAGTAAATTGTTTGTATATTTATTTAAATTAAGGAAAAATAACAAAAAAAAAATTACAAATTAACCATATAATTATCTTCAAAATTAAAGTTTTGATTTTTTTTTTTTGTTTCTATTTTTATTATTTTTTGTTATTCAAGTTGAATTGTATTCGGTGACATTGATCCTCATCCCCAAGTCTAAAGGCTTCCATACTGAATTATGTGGTGGATGGGTAAAAGTCAGATAGCTTAATACCCATAACACATCTATAAATAACAAAGTATTGAATATAAAAATACTACATTATCAATACGCTGATTATATTAGTACTACATGTTGGTGTAGAAGGGCTGTATGACATATATTTAGTGCTAACATTTTACAGATCCCATTTCTACTCTGTAAAATCCAAATTTGGTCATTAAAATGTTAGATAATATTTTATTATTACCATAATTTTAGGAACACTAATACTATATGAACAACAGGGCAATAAAGTATTTTTAGTTTAGTATACAGGAAATAGAAAGAGTTATCACATTTTTTCCTGTAACTATATAAAAATGATGTACATTATACAGGGTGATTCAAGTGTTGTTTGATAAAAGAATCACTCTGTATAGTACTTTTTTTTCTCCGTTTAAACCGACAGCAGAGGAGGATCTGTATGAACACTACTACTCCTCTGCTGCCATCGTTTATTAATGTTTAATAAAAACGCTAATACATACACATACTTTACACATAACTAATTATGGTTGCTTCACCTTAAAAATAAAAATATTAATACAATAGATACAATACAATTGTATAGTACTTTGTCATAAACTATTTCAGATTTCTATTCATTTGATTTCTTATGTGAAACATGTTTGTACATGTACGCCAATATGTATAAAGCAAGGTTTTAAGATTACATTATATTTTAAAAAAGCGGGTAAGTGGATGTCGCTCTGCTGTACATTACAGGGTGGGGTGGACCTCTGACTACGGTAGGTTAAATTTGAATGCAATGATGGGTATCATTGTATATGAAAAACGATTCTGAACGGAGACAGTTATCTGTCTAGGATATRTTATAGATTATTAAAAATTTTCAAATCTTAGATTTAAAAAGAACATTTTTTATGAATTTCTAGCTTAGAATAATTTGCGAATTTTCTTGATATTTACGTATGTTGTCAAAATTAAAATGTAAATGCTTGTAAAAACAAATTGTGGCTATATATTTTTCAACTGCTGTTGTTACGATGTGTCAAGAGCCTTATATTTAATTTTCAAATCTTAGATTTAAAAAGAAACACTTTTATGAATTTCTATCTAAGATAATTTGAACATTGCCGTAATTTTTATGTATTTAGTCAAATTTGAACTTTAAATGCTTATAAAAAAAAATTTGTGACCATATATTTCTTTTATTTTTCAACTGATGTTGTAAAAATATGTTAGGAGCCTTGTATTAAATTTTCAATTCTTAAATATAAAAGGAAAATATTTTATGAATTTCTAGTTTAAAATAATTTGTGAATTTTTGTGATTTTTACGTATTAAGTCGATATTTGAACTTCAAATGCTAATAAAAAAAAATTGTGCCTATATATTTTTATAACTTTTTAATTACTATAAGAATAACTTATGAGGAACTTTGTATTAAATTTTCAAGTATTTTGATAGGGCCAAATAAAATTTATCAACACTTCAAAAGAAAATTTTCAGAAAAATTGAAAATATCAGTTGCCTATAAATATCTCAAAAAAAGTCAAAATATTTTGAAAATTAAATCATGTAAAGAAAATTCCAATCTAAATAACTTGTGAAATTTTCAAGTTATGACTTATACTTTATGAATAATTACAAATATTTAAAATCGTTTGAGGATAAATCGTTATCGTTACGCTATTTCGTAAAAATTTAAAATTCAAACGCACTTAAAATTTTTTCTATATTGATGTTTCAAGTTTTCTCTATAGCTACTTGAAGGAAAACTAATGGAAAACTTAGTGTTGCATTTTCAATCCTTAGTTATTAACACAAAAAATTTTATGATTTTTCAACTTCAAATATTACTTGTAAATTTTCATGTTTTCGACAGATTTTGTAAAAATTTGAACTAAACGCTTATAAAAAAAATTGTGACTGGCGATTTTTAATTTTTTTTAGCTACAATAAGAACAACTCATAAAGAACCTTGTATTAAATTTTCAAGTTTTTTTGATCGTCCAACATTTTTTTACCGGCACATCAAAAAAGTTCTCAAAAAAATTGAAAATTTCAGTGGTCTATAAATAACTCAAAAAAAGTCAACAATTTGTGAAAATTAAACTGTATATAGATAACATCAACATAAAAATTTGGTGAAAATTTCAAGTGTTTACAGTGATTAATTTTTAAATTACAACCATATAAAAAAATCGATTTGGTCGAAAACTGGTTTTGCGTAAAAATTCCCGTTTTTGTCATTTTTTTTTTTGTTTTACTTGTTTTTTTTTTGAAAATTGTTGAAAAATGTTTACTTTTGACCTATATAATGCACCAAGGATATTCACTTTTACATCAGAAACCGCCAACGGCACCACCGAAGTTTGAAATTGAAGCAGCATTATTTTGACTAGTAATGCTGTACACAGACACACAAAAAAAAAACATCATTGTAAAATCAATACATTCATCACTTCGTTCAGTATTTAAGAGGGTTTAGCATAATAATAAAGTTCCTTTGTAAATTTGTCAATCTTCAATATACTCTACTACTCGAGAATCTAGTTAGTACTCAGAAGCCACTTATATACATTATTATTACAAAATAAATCTTTTTTTTGTGTTTTCAAAATGCACTTATATTTCAAAATTAATGTATTATTACACATTTTTAACTATTATCAGTTATCTAACATCTGACAACTCCCTTATCAATATAGGGTTTTCTTCTATAGTAGYGCATCTATTCCATGACACACTACAATGGCGGACGTTCCCAGCCAAACAGCTTAAAAAGTATAAACATATCATAACAATCATAATCATAAGTAATAACAACTAACAAGTAATAATTGATGAACAGACTTGCGAGTTGCCACTCTCCACTGCTAAAACACAGTTAACAACAAATTAAATCGAAAAGGCGAGAACCCATTAACCAACGGGAATCGATCCCGCGTCAAACACACTCGTAAGTCTGTGGGCCTTTGAGCAAAAACGAAAAGTCAATATGAAACAAACTGCAAACCCGCGATAAGTGCTGTAGCGCGAGTGGAATAGGACGGTAGTACGGTACCATTGTAGTATTGTACAAGCGTTCGCTCAAACGACAGACGGCAGTGATGGGTCCAGACGAACGTGTCGAGCCGTGTAGGCCAGTCAGCCAGCAGTGATAACGACGCCGAACCGACCGCAGCGGTGTTAAAGACTCCCGACTGCCGATTCAGTCCCGACTGCCGATTACAATTTACATTCGTCGTCTGTAACCGAGTCGGTGAGTAGTGAGTACATATTATTGTTCTATATTGTCATGCCTTTTCTCAYTTTATAATTGAGTTAAAATAAAATAATAAGTAATTGCAATATTCTAATATTGCATTTTGTTGCGCGCACATCGATTTTCGCGCGTTCGCGTGTCTTGTGATAATATCGATAAACTTAATATTTTCCCTGGGACATGTTCAATGTTTTGAATTTTTTTTCTCTCTCCGTCACTACCTCTATTCTATCTAGTATCTAGTATCTCTCTCCAACCACCGCATCAAACCGTGTCCTTCGCCCGGCTACCCGGGTTTGTGACGTTTGTGTGAAACTGTGGCCCCGTCGCCCACACTGTTTGGAGCTGCTGTTGGAGGGAAAAATTGTACGTTCACTTACCCGTTACCGTAACAGTGTAACACACACAAATCGTAAACATTAAAATTATTATTATTAAATACGTAATACAATAATAATAATACTGAGATTGTTTATTTTGTTTCCACACTGATATCAAGTTGTAAATAATTGTAATACAAATTACTAAATACTAAGTTAATTTTTCATATTTTAATATTTCACATTTTCTCTGTCTGGGACAGGTTGATGATAATTATTGTAAATTATTTTTTTCAACTTAAAATTCGTTCAATTCTTTATATTTATGTAATATTATTATGTTGTTGTTTTAAAATGTTTATAAGTTATCAGTCTCCTATATTAATAACAATAATTACAATATTGTATAATGATCTTTAAAAAAACATTAATATAATTTTTGTGAACATTACTTATAATTTTATAATTAATATACAATCTAATGTATTAAGTTTTTCTGACTGTGTTTGATAGTAGGTATTATATCTTTAATATTTTATTGATATTTTAAATTGAAAACGATAACATTACAATATTTTTTGTATTAAAATATTTCTTTTTTGTTAAAGAATTTTAATGTATTTTGTAAACTTTTTAGGTAATTTTTTATTATGTCTTGTTCCAAAATTACTGAAAAAACAGATGAAGAACCAGAAGATGAAGAAGCTGATGACACTTTAGTAGTTATTGTTAAGCCTGATGGTACTGTAACTATAGATCAAAATATGTTCAATAGAGTTTTGGGTAAGTCATTTATAAATATTTAAAAATTCAAGGGTTAACCATTTCATACCTAGACAATAGACATAGTAAATGTCAGGTTGCTGTTTTATTTAAATCAAATTTTTTATCAACGATAAATAATATACCTTTTTTATTGTCATTGGTATTGTATTTACCTTTTAGTAATTGATACTTTTTACGTATATTGTATAAATTAAATTGGTTGTATGTTATTATTTATTAAGTACCTATCTCAATTATTTTAACTCATAACTTTAAATTCATGCTTTATGTCTAGCCATATTTGATTTTATATTATTAAACTTCTTTATTTAGAAAGCAATAAAGAAACCATGAATATTATTCACTTTGAAAACAGTAGTAATAAAGGCATAACTACAAATCCAGACAATGGAGAGCAAGAGATAAATTTGACTGTGCAAGGTTTTTATCCATCTATTTCTACCAAAACATTCTTATCCCAAGGTAAGATGATATGGAATATAGACAACAAACTGTATTATTTTTTGAATGCATATCAATTTAAACTATTAGGTAATTTAACTAATTAGAAACATACATGTACTTATGTGGAGATGTTTCACAGAAAAATGTCTAATCTAACAATAATGGTAGTTTCTCAGTAGATATTTGCTAGAAGAGGAAAATGAGGTTGAGCATGAAGCACATCGAGTGCAGAATAATTATTAATGTAAGATTTTAAAAAATATGTGGAAAACTATACGTTTATTTTTTTACTTTTTAAAATCACAACATACATTTTTTATTTCATTTACAAAGCAGAATAATTTTTTAATGAATTTGATAAATTAAAATCAAATATTGAATCAATATTTTTTTAAGTATAAATAATTAGGGAAGAGTCATTGGTATCATTTTGAGGAGTACACTACTTCAATCTTCTATGCTTAAAATTCCTATAAATAATTAGGTTCAAGGTATTCTGCTCAGAAATATCATTTAAATAATTCAT